GGAAAGAATATAGTAGATACAAAGAGATTAAAGAGTTACTATTTGATTGGAAGTATATAATGATGTATGAGTTTGACATGAAGTTTGCAATGAGTGAAAAAAAATAGATCTAAGACTTTGATATATAACTTTTATCTATCTATCCGCTTGAATAATAATCTAAAATAGATCTAAGACATAAAATTTGATATTGTCTTTCCCTTGCAATTAGAGATTATCCTCCAACTAAATATATAAATATATTTTTAACATAATAAAATGGATAATTTTTTTTCTAACTATTCACATCTATATTTTCATACTTATTAACTTTAGATACCATGGAGATTAGATTAAAAAATTTCTTTTGAGTTCACTCTTCATTCATTCATATGATAAAACTTAAAAGTTTAGTATTTACATTTCTAAAATACCTTAAATAATTCTGTGTATACAGATCTAGACTATATTGAACTGTGATTATGATATCAACTAATTTTTTTCCCTAATACTATTACATCCAAATAGTATGCAAAAATCATACTCCTATTTTTTTTTCTTTTCTAAAGATCAATTTTTTTACCTTATTTAACACTTCAATCTCTATTTTACTGTTCAAATGGCTAAAGATTTAATACTTCTGCGTGAGTTCTACTCATTTAACTATTTATTTTATTTTAAAATGATTTTTATCAATATTTGAATACTGTAGTAGCTAAGTTTAGGATTACCTCCTCTCTTACTACTCCATCTTTGACGTGATGGATCACCTCTTGAAGTCCCATACCTCCCGGAGCGGATGAACTCCCGACTGTGGGTTGTCTTATTATCGAAGAGGGACGACGAAGTTGACGCACCGATGGCCTCAACCGGTGCAACAGTGTGGCGATAAAAGGGCATGTGGTCACCAAACTGTCCTTTTCATCCAAGCCAGTGGGCGCAGTTCTTCCACACCACCCTGTGGCTAATCTACCCTCCCGTAGCCCCTCTTGCATCTAATAAATTTGTTTTGTTATGCAGGTACAGAACACCGGTTGTATTTGATATATGTTCATCCAACGGAGGAAGCATGTTTGGAGAGAGAAGAGGCAGCAATAACAGCTGAGGGAGAAGCTGATGACATGGTTGCATCTAAGAGAAGAGGCAACAGTAACCGGTGCTGCCTCTTCTCTCTCCAAACACGCTTCCTCCGCTGGTTGAACATATTTCAAATACAACCAGTGTTTAATATGTGAAAACCAGGCTGAGATGCAGGCAAAATGCCCATATAAACATTAGATCATCCTTCGGTATAGCTATAAGAACATTTAGATATAGCTAATATCTTCAGCATTAGATGAACATTATGTAATCTTCAGCGGATACACAACATTAGGATATTCTGATTGAAGCTAATCGCCCAAGTCCATGCTCTTTTGAGTTTAGGAAACCAACTTTCTTAGTCAGTCCATGCTATTTCATTTTTATGACAGAAAAAGTAGCATCCACATAGAAAAAAGTATAATTACAGAGTAACGCACTCTAATTCTCGTTCCGGATTTCTTAGAACTACTATGAAGATAGAGAAGAAGATCACGGAAAGACATTTTCTCTCTCTTTTTTTTTTCTTTCTCCTTTCCATTTTGGTTTTAAGTTTGAACTGTTGACTATTTTTTTGTTTGACCTGACTTAATGCATTTTATTGTTTTCCTTTCTTATTATAACTGAACTAATGTGTAATTTTTTGGGTCATTAAGGACTAAAACGATCGCTCTTGAACTTTTATTGGAACTATCCAAATCTCCATCAATCTACTATTTTTTCCTCACTTTTATTCACTTCCTTTTTTTTTAGCAAAGGATAAATAACGAAGGCTGAATTCTTCGTACCCATGATCTTACGATAAACTGTCAAGATCTTTAATAGCTAAACTAACTGACATCTTAAGAAAAAAATTCTTACAACTCTACTCTTTTGTAAATCATATCTTTGGGGAAAACTTTACCACATCATCCCACATGAACATGAGGTTTTTTACCTTTGGACAGTCTCCAACATACTTCCGGATTTCATCACTATACGTCTGTTTGTATATTTCAAGCATAGTTTTGTTAGTTTTCTTGATTAAATTTGATTTACTTTGAATTCTGCACCAACAAATTTCCAAGCACATTTACCAAGAACTAATCAATATATAGCAAAAGAAAGATTGTTTTTCAGCTACTAATCCAATTTGAACTTAAATGAAGATCCCGACGATGACCTCCAGCTTCATCAGACAACCATAGCAGAAGTGATTAATGCAATTGAAATAAAAACGTTTTTGAAGTGAAAAAAAAAAAAGAAAACTTTACCAAATCCAAGAAAGTAGGAATCAACGTCAATTATTTCCCAAAGAGACTAAGATTAAATCCTATGAAGTTCTTTTGGTGCAGAAATCAAACTTAACAGGATTTAATTAAGAAAACTAGCAAAAAGTTATGTATAAAATATGAAAAAGAGTTACGTTAATAGGACCCGAAAACACTTTGAGAATAATTGAAAGCATATCATGTAAGTTCAAATCAGAACATAGCTAGAGAAATTGATAACCTGCTGACCAACTAGTAGTGCCCTGGGTTGAAAATAACACCAGATCACCTAACCAGCAATGCATGTACAATATCAAACATAGAAATTCTGTATCAGAAAATTAAATATGCTTCAAATTAAGTTTTTCATAAGGATTGTATACGTGTGATTTGCTTATTTAGCAGAACCTAGACTTCTCTATTACTGTCTTTGCAGATGGTCCTTAATGGCAGGAAGATATGTCAGGGAGAACAGAAGTGAAATAAACTAGAGGAACGCCTACCATAGGAAAAAAGAATCAGGACTGAGCTCAGGATCTTCACCAAACTGAGGGAAATACCCTCTGGGAGATCAGATGCGGAGACAGCAGTAGAGTTCAGAATTTCATGTACTGCGAATGAAAGGTGCACAATCCACAGTATCTCCTTTTGCTCATCAACTCCCTAACTATTCTATGAATCTCTCGTGTAGTTCTATCAACAAATACATATGGTCATGACTGCTTCTTCCTTTTTATTGTTCACTATGCAAGTCCACCAAACACAGATGGATTTAATTCTTCGAAGATTGTGCACAACTCTCTTCTAAGTGAAGAATATTTCCTATATGGGCAGATAGAGCCTACATAACAACAGGATTGTTACTGATACGGCTGATGATATAGATGCAAAAGCATGGCTAACCCCTTTTCTCAATCATGATGTTTGGTATTCATAACAATGCCCCTAACATCCATCAGCATCAATCTATCATGTCCTAGACATGTCATATTTCTATATGTCCTTGTACTATTAGCTGCTATTGATGGAACAGTTGGTCACCATAGACATCGAAGCACAATATCCTCAGGCATCTCATCTGATACCTACGAGATTCCTGAGTTCATTGATGCTCATAGTGTCTGTCTTATTTATCACCAACATTTCGTCGTTCTTACTCAAGACATCTGGATTAATTTCATGATTATTCTACTAGTAAGCCATGTAGAATACGCTGGCTGCAATGTCAAACATGTGGAATGATTTGAATAGCTACTAGGATGAAGATCCTAATTGCAGGCGCTCAAATTTCGAAAACGACTCTATATCCATGCAACAGATCTAGGCTTAGTTATGAGTTCCAAATATCAATTAACAATTTGCAATCCTGATTCGCCCAGATAAGAACATGACATCGCTCACAAGGAACTTCAAAATCAGGATCCCGAATGTAGATGCTTACGCTACGAAAACTCGATATCGATACAACAGATATAGTATTTAGAAACCTTAATTTCCCCAAATACGAATGCGAGAGAGAGAGAGAGAAATCGAGACTACCTCGAGGTCTCCGTAGACTGGCGCGAGGATCTCGTCAAGAGCCATGGCGTAGGAACGATTGAGGAGCGTCGTGAAAGAATCATGAAAGCCAGATCTAATGGGAAGAGAGAGAATAGGTAGGATGAGAGGCGAGGCAGATGAGAAATTGGCTATCTGTGGTGGCGGGAACCGAACGGGTATTTTGAAATTTTCCCCTTCTCCCGCCTAATTAGTGTGTTTGAAGTCGTGTGCGAATAAAAGAAGCTCATGAAGTACTTCGCGTCCGGACCTCGGTCGGCGAGAGAGCCCTTGGGACGAAGGACGTACACACGCGACCCCCACCCTTACCTGCGTCTAAAATAGAAGCAAGTTGCGGGCCCCAGCCGCGAACAACACAATCGCCGATGGAAAGGTGGGCCCAAGGGACCACGTGGCGCCCAGAGGCATCAGCATCTGAACGCGTGACACCTTTCGCTTCCTCTTACTTACATGTTTCTAGAGAAATAAGGAAAAAGAAAATTACCGAAGCAACCCACGACGGGCCACGTGCTCACTTGCCCGCCTCGTGATTGGAAGTAATGACGATGCCTAATGTGGATCCCACCGGCGGCTCTTCAGCTCGTCCAATCATAAGGCGGGTGGGACGAGGTAACAAATGCCAAGGTGTTAAACAACGATTTCAACCTTAATTCAAATCCGACTCCCGGAGAAGTATCTGAATCGATATACTTTTCTTTCCATATGATAGATAGTATTTCTAGACAAGTCATTTTCCACCTTTTTCGAATTTAGTATTTACCCTTTGATTGAATACAAACAATCACATTGTTCATGCCTACATTAATAGAAAATCGAGCAACAAGAACCCTAAATCTATGGCATTGTTACTCATTTCTGGGTTCAAATGCAAAGACAAGAAGTTTAAGACCCTGTCTTCAGATTCCAACAGATAAAACAAAAAGATGCAAACGAGATCCATAAAAGAGGCAAAGAAAGGGATGAACCTTACCAGGTCACACATGTTGCTGGCCTGAAGTAGCAGAGCTGCTGTGATTGATCAGGAGCACCCAGAGACAACCTCATTTTGCTAAATGGGAGAGGGATGATCTGAGGTTCCATATTTTCAGATCAGAGGAGGTAGGATCTCCACTAAGAACTCATGGACTCCTCAAATTATCGAAAACACCAGTCTAAATTGTTCAAAAACAAGCTTGCAAAGTCAGATTTGTGGCTCCAGCCAGATACAAGATTCTTGCATGCATTCTGCGGGAAGTTCGGCACGAGAAAATAATGTGAAAGAATAGAGGGAAAAAGGGGTTTTTAGCCCAAATATGCTTAGTATCAGACTACAGCACTTCAACAGCTTCAAAATTACAAGCAACATCAGAAGGGACTACTCAATGCCCCAGCATTGCTGATGTCCTTGAAGGAGACCTTGAATCGATGCCGATGTCTGATTGTCAACTCATAACCTCAGAGAAAGGCTCAGAGGCATGAAGGACCCACCTCTCTTGATCATCTGCAGTGATAAAATTCAAGGATGAAGATCCAGAAGAGGAAATACTAAACTCTGAAATCTAGAACCTCAGGAGTTGCAAATGCGGCTCAGGATAGAGACCCCCCATTAGGGGACCTGGAAGAGGTGCTGGAGAAGTCTGATGCAGCCATAGGAATGGAAATAGAGAGCTGTGTTGTGGAAAATGAGGTCCGGTTTGACCTATCTTCTTCGAGGTCTGACCAAGCATCTCTCGTCTTGGGCCACTCATCAAAGAAAGGACGGAGGAACTGAGTTTCATGTTTCACAGGCTCTGATGAGCCAAACTCACTTCCAAAGAAAGAATGTTGCTGCTGTTCCTGTCTAGACAGTGAGCTCATCTTAGCCCGCCCAAGATCTTGCACCGTCTGAAGTTGAGAGTAAGCACTATGCAGAATGGAAAGGTCTTGGGATTTCGACATAGGGAAAGAGGACGCTTGTGGTGGCATCAGGAGCCATGAGCTGTCCACAGAGGAGTCCACCCCAAGGGCCCTAGCAGTGCCAGAAGCTTCAGAAAAGAAACTACGCTCATCCACATCAGGTTTAAGTCCAGAGGAGTACCTGCAAAAAATTGGGTCCACCACATCCATAATGAAAGCATATTAAGAAATCCAACGGAAGAAATTCAAATTTGACAAGAAAACTATGAGAGGCTAGAAATTTCTATCAAGACTTCCAAAATTCCCCACACGAATGGAATGGCGCCTTTATTACATGCTGCATTTTAGTCCAAATTTCTTTCAAAGCAATGCGTCCCCTGATCTGTGATCATACTTGTTCTCACTTCAGGTAAGAATATCCTAGGGTACAACATCAAAGTAAATTATCACAAGCATGCTTATTTTCACTGTATAAATCCAACATGAAGAATTGAACTTCATGCTTAAAGTTCATAATATCTTGCCACATTCTAGACCATTATATAACTGGTCTAGTTCATTTGTTAAGTCAAGTCACATAAGGATATGCATTAAAATGATGAGCAACACCAGAAACAAATCTAATAATCTTACTGCATCTGGTATTTCCAAACAATAAGAAGAATGCACCACCATGAATCTTTTCTTCAAGTTGCAAATGATTGAACTACTGCAGCTTTAAGTAAAAGAGAATGATTAATCCCACAATGGCAAATGATGTTTCAGCAATCAAATGAGAAGTATTTGATATTTGATTCTTTTTCTCCAAGTACATGGAGCATTGCAATATGCAAATACTGAAAGTAGATAATGGAAGGTTGAAATGTGTAAAAGAAGATGAATGCTATATCAAAGAACACTTTTTATATTCTTCCTTTTTAAATATTATTCCTTCTGAGGAATTCCAAATCTCATTTTAAATAGTTTTGATGTGACATGTAACAAGACAAAAACAACTTGACAGCATCTGTTGATTATATCAAGATAAGCTCCTGGAAACATTCTCCAGCAAAAAGCAATGAAAACTTAATAGACATGAAACAACAGGTGAAAAATGCATCTGTGAAATAACAGGGATTTAACTTACTGTGGTCTACCAATTTAGCTGACACAAGCAGAGACTGGAAACAAAAATATGGCCATTTACCGACAACGTCTAGATGAGCAACTTATCACATAAATAGGAAAGATGAAAAAGATAGAAGATTGCATATTAGACCTTGACATAATAGGGAATGGCAACTTACATATTCTAGAATGATGACTACTAAACTTCGTTAGCTGCAGCAAAGATGTGTGGCTAGAAACCGGTAGGAACTGGGATGATTGACACAAACATTACGAAGTATCCAGAAAAAAAAAGGAGAAAAGTATTTTGAATCAATCATTTCAAAACAATTAAAATAAAACTATTTCAAATCAGGTTGCACCTGTTGGAAGATCATGGACACAAAACATAAGAGATCTTACAAGAACATCAAACTAAGCGGATGGAGACACCTAGTAGTGTGTGCACCCGGTATAGGAGCTTTGTCCGGATATTCTAAGATTTGAAGTTTTGGACATGTTCCATTGATGTCACATAAACTGGATAGATCTAGATCTTAATCTTCAAGATATGCATTGCTTTGTTTGACACAGAAAATTTTCTCAATTCAACCTATTCGACAACAATCAGTAAAGTTCAAGAAACCCAGAAGAAATCTAAAACATTCTCGAAATCATCTTCCACATATATAGTCAGAGGACTTATAGTCAATCAGCTATTTAAAAATTCACATAGTGGACCAAAAAATTTCAAGAGTATATTGCATACTGCCATCTTTTGACCACTTGACTACTGGTACCAGAAAAACCAGATTATTAACATATTCTAATCCCTCAAAAGGGGAAAAAGGACCTTCTCTGCCACAAACACGTTCAAGACATAGATTATTTTTTTAAGTTTTAAACTGACAAAGAATACCTTTTCTGCAGACTGCAGAGCTTGACACAAAGCCTGAGCTAGGACAAAACAAAAAAAAAATTAAGTGGAGCTGTGGAGTCCAGACTACTGCAAACAGAATCTGGAAATTCACGAGAATTGTCAGACCAATTTGTAATACCCCACATCAACAAGAAAGTAGATTCAGAAAGAAAAGCTTCCAAATATTCCAGCACTGACTGTAAGATATTAATTGGTCTACAGACCCACAAAAGATTTTCTTTATCTACTTTCCATAGCCTACAAAATGAAGATGGCCTGCCAATGGGCAGGGAAGTCTAAGGAGGGTAAATAAACACAGTTTTGCCTCTATAGTCAGAAAGATCGTTTGAATGATTCAGACCCTGGTTCTTCCGTAATCCGTAGTCCACAGGTTGACCAAAATGGTTGTGAATGAAAAGTATTATATCCTACACTCATCCGTGTTGTTGTCTTTTTATTAACTTAGATGGAACTGTGGAAGTTTAGAGTCTGTGTCATCTTAAAGAATTTAACCAAATGAGATTTTGGTTAAACAACCAAGTGAGATGAAATTTAGCTTAATGAAAAAAATCTCCCTTAATCAATCATGATCAAATTCCAAATGACATAATCATCCAGCAAACAGGATTACCAGATCAAAATCCTGATTCCTAAAAAGAGACATATAACCATTTCAATGTTGAAGTAAAAAAGTCTAGGTTAAGGTACCTATTGCCAAGAGAGTCAGTGTCCATCGGTAGCCGAGATGAACTAGCACCACCACCAAGGCATGAATTCTGCGCATTGCTCGGACCTGCAATTGACTGCAGGGTGATGCTCCGGAGGCTTCCAACACCAGTTCCGCCGGCATTGCTTCCAGAGGGAGAGAGGGATGTCAAAGTCGATGATGAAGTCTGAGATGGGGAGACAGTTTGTGATTCCACAGGCTTTCTTGAACGGTTGCGGCCTCGGTGCATGTGACGCTCGCAATACTTAGAACCAGGGTATGCATCCTTGGAGCAGCGCCACTTCTTTCCATCAGTCCGACGGCACCGCCCGGGTTCTGGGTCCGGTTTCTTCCCATAGTAGGAATAGTAACTCACTGAATTCAAAACGAAGACAGCCATCCAAAATTATATGAAGTAACAGCACAAGAGGTAACTGTACCAAACAGGGGCTGCATAGAGAACAACTGTCAAATAAAAGGGTAAGTCTGTAGCTGATCAAAATGTCAATGAAAATCGAAGACAGGGTATAAAAGTTCTCATAGTCCACAAAAGCTACACAATAGAGTTGAGGACCGAAAGAACAGACAACCCAAAAAATGCCACAGGATTAGCAGTTCCTGAAGCCACAAGGCAGTGGAAGAAGATAGAGTAGAATATGGATTGACAAGAACTTCCAAAATGCTTTCCGTATGCAACTTCAACTTGTCATTACCATTTTTTTCCCACCAAACTAAAATTCATCGTTTGCAGTGATAAAAGAACAAATCCTGGCTTTCCAACCTAGCAATAAAGTGATTTAAAGAAAGCAGTATAAACAACAAGAGACTGCAATTATAACAACAAGATTACGTATTCTAAGCTAAAAAGAACCTTCACATAATCCAACAAAAAAGGGCAAAATGAACAAGAAATACATAAAAAGTCGACAACTTATGGAACGCAAATCCCATCAGAAAACTCAGAAACCACTGCCAATGATCGCCAAAAACTGTAGCAACATCGTAGCCAAAATATCCAAAAATAAACTCATGTAAGAGCTAAAAACCGAAAGTAAATTGATTTGGCAGACGATAAACCCCCGATGCAAGAAAAATACCCACCTCGACACAAACCATGATCATAAAAACTTCCAAAGAAAACGCCTAGCAACAGCAAAATGGAGAAGCCAGAACAAAAAGACAATAACTTGGCGTCGGCCTCTTACGCGAAGGGTGGTAGTATCGTCCGGGCAAGGCCTCGAAGCTCCTCCTTATGGGAATGATAAGCTCCGGCGGCACGGGAACGCCCGCCATTAGGTACTTTAAGATCAGCGCCTGGTGCTCCAGCTCCTGCCACTGTGTCGCCGTGAACGGCGGCCGGCACCCGACCGCCGCCGCGGCGGCCGCAAAGCTGTTCATCGCGTAAAGAGGGACAAGAACTAGCGAAGGACCGAGAAGAAGAAGAAGAAAAAGACGACAAAGAACCCCCCTCGTTCTCGAGCTCACTCATGGCCGAGGGCGCGACAGACAGTCGCGTCCTCCGCCGCTGAGGGGAACCCAGAAACTTTCGCCATCACCGTGTGGCTGAAATGTTGCGGTGGAGAGAGACGGTGGCAGTGTTTTTATAGGGCAAAGGACCATGGCAATGTCCCGAGGCCCAACACACAAAACACTCAACTTCGAAGGACTAAATCGCAAAATACGTATCCACGCCATGACCCGACTCGAGTCCGGTCCGAACCGATCCGACTCACATCCGTTGGCGGACCGGACCAAAATTTACCGTCTTGTATGACCATAGTGGTTGCATCCTTTAGGTCAAATAATTGAGCATGGCATGTGGGTTTTATGACTCCCCGAGTCGAAGGAGGCCCACATCTTTTGGTGCAGTACGCAACTACGAACTCCACCTTAGCCAACTCGGAATCTTCAAGCTCAGTAACTTTTTGTTGCTTTTTCCTGTGTTACCATGGAATCAAAGGTGGGTGCAATGATGAGGGTTATGAGGCATGACTTGTGCGACACTCCTTCGATTAAGGATGTTAGATGAGGGTCCTTTTAGCTGTGTGTGGCTTTAGGGTTCAATGGCGAAGGGAAGGGAGGAGTCCCCACAGCGAGCTGCTGCTCCTTGGCATGACAGCAAGTGCATGTGATGGGTACGTCCGCGACCGGCCCAAAAGAGAACTGCTGCTTAGGTGGTATGTAGTTTTCAGGGACCATCACTTGTCGGTAGTTGAGAGGCTGATAAGGAGAGATGGAGGAGCAGTACGCTGCTGTGAGCGAGAGAGAGAGAGAGAGAGAGTCCTGTGTGCAGCAATTGTGTATGTGCAATCTTATGAGCACAGTGAGGAACAGTGGCTTTGTGTGCCAGCAATTACGTAGTAATGCTAATCTACATGTATTCTCTCACTGCCTGCGAGATAAGTAGGAAAAGGAGAAGCACATATATATATATTAGACGAGCCAAATGTGACTTTTCTCAGATCCTTTTTTCTCACTTAATTTCTTGGAAGAATCCCATAAATAATTATTTTTTAGGGTTTTTTTTAAATTATCCCTCATTTTTAGAATGTATTAATGATATAATATTTTTGATTTGAAAATTAATCACTTATCTTTTTTCCTCTTTCCTTTTATTCTTTTTTGACACTGTATTTCCAGTAATATCATGAAAATACCATAATGCAGTAAAATAAATATTATGTTATAATATATATATATATATATCATGTTATTTTTAATAATATTTTTTAAAAATATATATTGGGGAGAAAAAAAATAAAAAAGTTATTGGAAAAAACCCAATATTTTTTTTTGTTATTGGGCAATTAATTTAAAAAATGTGGCAGAACAAAATGAATACATGGATCTGACATAGGAATGGCAAGTCACAATTAATTGAAGAGGATAAGATGGTCATGGATTAGGAGTTCCCAGTGACAGAGATTTCCAGGCAGGCAAGGAAACACCAAGAAGGGGGGAGGAAGACAACCAAGAATCCAACAAGAACATAGCATTTACTTCACTGTTTGGAGTCAGCTGAGGGATAAATGTAACTCCTCTTCTCACTAATACACACATATATAAAGCTAAGAAAGGCATTAAATGCAGAACTGTTCCAATTAAAACCAGGTGGGCTCCAGAGACTAATGTTTGGATGCTCACATGACTTGCATGAGTGAAAGAGATACTGTTGTCTCAATCTAAAAGCCTCTACCTTGAGATATGCATCCACAAAACCCCCCCCCCCCCCCTTTTTTTTTGCTCCTTGGGGAGAAGAGATGCCCCCATCCAATGACTGACTGATTACTTCCAAGAACTTTCAAGTAAGTCATTTGAGTTTCCCTGCAAACTGCAGGCAAACTATGACCAAAGAAGAAACACCTCCAGGTTTCAATAGCCAACTGATCTGAGATATGGGCCCAAATAGGCAGGTGGTTTGGCATGACAGAACTAGTTCAGTCTGAACAAAAGGCTGCAAGAACACATAAGAAGTGGACACACACACACTCAAAGTTTAGATATTGTAATCCATTCCATCACCATGTGTGCCATGCTCATGCAGCATGCTTCAGGAGCTAACCAGTTGGGCACCAGCAGTTATGAAGAACAGAGGCTGTGCCTAATCCATCACAAGAGATGGCTGAGACATTGTTCATGATCTCTGCAAGTTCATACACTGATTCCACAGCCTACAATCAAGCAATTCCCCTGATGTGAGTCATGAAAAGTGTACATGAGTTCTGAAAAATAAATTCAAACTCATAAAAAAATAACATAATTTTAGGATGAATCCTCAGAAAAAAAAAAAATTTCGGTTTGAGGTTTTTTCTTTTAGCCTTTTGTTTTCCCTACCAGTGTACTTACTTTTTTTATATTCTTAAAATACTGCTGATGGATAAGCTAAAAAACTCTGTATTGGATCAATTCATAAAGTAAATCAGACTTTTTAGAAATGAATTCTAATATAGAAATGACTTCTTACCAAGCAAAGAAATCTGAAAATTAAAGTTTAATTATTCAATAAATACTCTATGTATCTCTAAATCTTGATCTGGAAAGAGAAAATATTATTAGATTTTTCTCTAGTAACTCCAAAGAGAGTGAGAGAAAACTTTCTCTTTGAACAGATAGATTTGTGGTTGAGTTGAATTTCAACTCAAGGGTATTTGTAATTGATATTGTATAATAATAATTTTAGTTTTCTTTGTAAATTGTTTTACAATTTTCTTTCTTAGGATTACATGTTTTTGGCATTTTCACAAAAATATTTTAACTGAATCCATTCATATCATGGATCGGTGCAGAAATATATCTTATCAAAAGTATTTTTTAGACTAAGGAAAAGATTTTTAGATCACAGAAAAGACTAAAAGCCAAAATGAGAAACTTTTCCTAAAAATTCACCCAGCATTTTAGGTGTAAGTTAAGGTCTGAAAAAAAAAAAAAGCATCTGTGCAGTTCTTTGTGTTTCTTTCTCTTTATTTTATGTTATAGTTGTTACACTTAACTTCAGCAGCTCACTGATCCCTGCAAACAAATGCAAAAATAGAGAGGAAGAAGAACTAAAAGGAAAAAAAAAGTTATTTCCATAAAGTACATAATTATTAATAAAAAAGTTAGTGGAAAAATAACACACAACAACTAAAAGGATTGCTAGAAAATAAATAGCTAGCTTAAGTCAATACATCATGGTGAATAGACTTGTTGTCTGGAATGTATTGTTAACAATGGAGGTCTGCTATTAATTCTTCCACGTAATCAAAGCTGTTGAATGCTAAAGAAGATATGAAGTTATTGAAAGCACACCATTTAGAGGCATATGAGTGCTTAAAGATCTGCCAGGTGAAGAACTCACTCTAACTAAAGTTTTTTTTATTAGCAAAAAATTTTATATGGTATCTAACACCCAAAAATTCTAGGATCAGACCAACTTGATTTGGATTTGGCTGTAAATCAAGACTATCTTAAACAAATCTATTTAGTCTGAAGTAGCCCAAATTTATGATGAAATTAGGCCTATACTTTGAAAAGATTAAAAAAAAAAGACTTGTTAGAGCAAATGACATAACTGACTTTTTTTCATTTAAAAATATTTTTTATTTAAAAATATATAATAGGTTAGCTATGTCACAGGTTTAAAAATATATCATTTCAGTTAGTCTAAAGACATTAAGACCCGTAGTCTTATGAAGTAATACAAACAAAGTGTTTGAGGTTCTTGTTTAATGATCTTTGATGCGATTCTTGTTTTATAATGTTTTTGCTTCATGTTATCACCATGCAACACTCAAAATATTTTTAGCTGTATGGGGTATGAAAAATGACCTAAAACAGTATTATTCTTGTATACCACAAAATGATTTCTAGTTGCAGCAAAATGTAACATCTTTAGCATACTCATTTTTTACTTCACAAAAGTGTTAGGTGAATATTGGACCTATATCTACTTTCAGGATCCCTTTGTGTGTGCTCGTTCGTCTCATTTTTTAGATATGTTCATCTCATTTTTTACATCGCTAAAGATGATACGTTTATCTCATCTTTAGCGACGTAAAAACTAGTTGCTTTGGATCCTGATTATCTTATTTTTTTCATTTGCAACAATGATAAAATAGTTATACGTTTGTCATTCTAATATTTATTTTGCTTAGCAAGTCCTTTGTGAACTATACGAGATTAAGATCTAGACTGATCCTTATGAACTAATATAGCTTAGGTGTGCCTTAGATAATCCCAACCGAAGACGTGACAGAGGGTCAATCCAACCGGTCACACTGAACTACTTCTAACATCATATAAGTTACTAATAGTCAAATTAATTTCATATTTGAAAAGAAGCTTATAGAAAATAATCAAATTTTATGAAAGATATTTTTATATCAAAGTATTAGAGTATTTAAACTAATCACTCATTTTCAAACCTGTTGGACCCATTCATTTAAACCTATAAATAAATAATGTTTAATATAAATAATATATTTTTTAAATTAATAAACTTATAAAAATTATAAAAAAAAAATTATAATAAAATATTATAAAACTAATTATATAAATATTATTTTTTATATAAAAAGATAAACATATATTTTTATTCGTGAATAATTAGATACCATTTTGATAAAAGATAATAACCGAAGATTATTTAAAATTATATGAGCATGTCTGGTGAGACCTCCGGATGTGATAATTTGAGAACATGAAATAATTAATATTAATGGTAGATAAAAGAAGATATAAAAAGATTTTAATAAAAATTATAATAAAGATTTAAATATTTTAAATTTAACTAAACATATAACTTTTTATCGATTTCACAAAAAAATATCTAATCAATCCTAAATAGTTAAAAATTTATGATTGTTATTGTTGTTATTATATATATTATTATAATATATTCATATATCTTAAATTTTATATAATTTTACATGATTTATTTTTATTAATTTAATTATATAAAAATATATATTATTCATATTTATTAATACTATAACATTACTTTAAGTCGGTTCTGATGAGGATAGTAATTATGATAAGACTCGGCTGACGTCAGCTGACGCCTCACGCAACAGCACCT